CCACATAATTAGCGGGGCCAATAAAAAAAAAAAAAAAAAAAAAAAAAAAAAAACAAAAAAAAAACTACAAAAATTAAAAAACCAACGAACCCAAACCTAATTAGACAGCATAAAAATTGGAATATTAACTAATTAAAAACGCATTGAGACCGGCGAGAAGCGGAAAAATGCGCGACGCCGACAACGAAAATAGCACAGCCGCCTCCGCCGCCGCAGCCGCAGCCGACGGCCTGACGGACAGGGAACTGAGACGAGCCTCGGCCGCCCAGCGCCAAACACTGCGCCGCCTGCTCATCGAGCTGTTCGTCATCGTGGTGCTGACGATACCCATCTACATCTACGAGTTCGCCGTGGAGCCAGCGCGGCGCGGCTTCTTCTGCGACGACGAGAGCATACGGTATCCCTTCCAGGAGAACACCGTGACGCCCGTGATGCTGGGCCTACTGGCTGGCGCCTTGCCGTTCCTCGTCTTTGCCGTAGTCGAGTACGTGGACTCTGTGCGCGCCGGCGAGCTGTCGTCCACAGTGGACCTGCTCGGCTGGCAGCTGTCAGCCTGGTGCGTGGCGCTGGGCCGGCAGCTGACCTACTTCGGGTTCGGCATGCTGCTGACCTTCGACGCCACCGAGGTGGGCAAGTACACGATTGGGCGCCTGCGACCGCACTTCATGGCTGTGTGCCAGCCGCAGCTGAACGACGGCAGCCTCTGCAGCGATCCGATCAATCTGCATCGCTACGTGGAGGACTACGAGTGCGCCGCAGAGGGCTTCACCGTTGCGGACGTCCGGCAGGCGCGCCTCAGCTTTCCCAGCGGCCACTCCAGCATAGCCTTCTACGCGCTGCTCTACACGGCCCTCTATCTGCAGCGCAAGCTGAGCTGGCGCAGCTCCAAGCTTATGCGCCACTTCTTACAGTTCCTGCTCGTCATGCTGGCGTGGTACACTGCGCTCAGCCGCGTCATGGACAGCTGGCATCATTGGTCCGATGTGCTGACCGGCTCGCTGCTGGGCGTGGCAGGAGCCCTGATCACCACCCGCTACATAGCCAAGCTGTTCAAGTCGCCCTTCCACGACGTCAGGCTGGGCGTTGGCCTGAGACGGCAGGACACCTCGGCCACGCTGCAGGAGGTCTGCCCCAGCACCCCACCTCCCTATTGTGTGAACAGCAGCTACAGCGATGACCAGTATTGTACCAAAGTGTAGCCGGATGGGATTCGAAGAGATTCTCCAAAGTGCAAATTTGCAATGAAACATTCCAAATCAAATAAAATGCAGCCTGAATGAAAAACATATTTGTGAAACAGAGTTGACAGAGCTGCTAGAACAGATACGTTAGCTGTAGTTCATATGTATTTTGTAGTACTCTAATTAACACATAAGTCCATTGTAGTCCAGTACCGAATCGCCCAAATGCATTTGTAAACATTTCACCCATTCCATGTATTCATAAGATTCATTCAAACGTTTACGTATTGTATATTTATATATTTATATGAATTGGGCACCCAATATAAAATATATTTGGCATTCAGCATCGCAAGTCATAGTTTCATGATAAGCTGTTTTACTCATATTGTATTGTAATTTTCCTGTACACACATCAATAAATTTGTTCGCTTAAAAGTATTCTTTGAGGTACGTGAACTATAAGCTATATATTTGCATGCCATGAATATTATCGATAAGCGCCTATTTCTCCTAATTAACGACTGTATACAGGGCATTCAGGTACGTATGTATGTATGCACATCTGCTTATTTGTTTATATAATTTATATTTTTATTTATATATGTGAGCCTATGTGTATTTGTGCCTCAGTCATGAATTCGAAAATATGTTTGTATACCACTTATAAATCCTTTTTAATGAGGGTGCTAAAAGTCACAACGAATCACGAACGATGATGAGTAATATTCGAAGCTAACGCTTCGTTGAATCTGATTCAAATTTCAAAATCATATCTCACATGTTATGCTCAGCGTATTCATAAACTGTAAAATTGCCTTGCTTGCCATGTTTACTTATATTTGTAATCAATTTATCTACCAATTTCACCTCATTTCATCAAAATAGCCCAATTGTTTTATTGTTGCTTACAGAGTATACCCTCTAACTGTGTTACATCTATGCTAGAGTAATCGCTGTGGAATTTGTGGGAGGAGTGATTTTTCGGAATTCGGTAAGCAATGATATATGTACATATGTATATTATAGACACAGGGTAAATGAATTACAGGGTATTGTATGCTCGACTACATACATTGTTGAATACTTATGCTGCGTCATCTACACGACGCGCGAAGGAAGGGACTGGCATAGATAATAAACTTTTCACTGGGCCTTTCTTTGAATGATCGTGGGAAATCGTGTGCCTCGGAGTCGGGCAGCAGCTCTGCTCATCTCAAATTTGGGTGACTCAGATAATTCCAACTGAATTCTAACAAGAATATGAAAGCTTTACCTAAAAGCTCAACAAAATCCACATATGTGTTGTCAATAATATTTTGATTATAATGTTGAAAAAAAACAAGCTCATATACATTTGACTTCTCAAGGCCAGACAAATTACAAAATTGAAAATATTGTCGAACAACTAGTAGAATCCCCGAGACGCAACACGTGCGCGAGTGGATGCGATGCTTATCTGTCAAGGCCAATAATTTGTGGAACTAATAAAGAGGCACTGATAACACAGAAATTATATTTAAAGCGCAGCACTGAGAAATCTTAAGACTCTCAAAATATTGAGAAAAATAAGGTGCAAACGATCTTTCCAATGGGAGGAGAGTCTGTGGATGACTAATACTATATCATGCAGTCTATAAGATATTTTAGTTTATTTATACTCATTCACGAAAGTGAAATGAGTATATTGCCATATAGTGATTTTTCAAATTCTGCTATATTTTGAACACCATTGATGCTAGAGATCTCAAATTTGGTATACATACTCGGAGTCAAAAGTAAGATAGTTAATTTAATTTTTATACTCATTCACGAAAGTGAAATGAGTATATTGGCGGGTATATCTCCTCCCATTAAGGGCGTGGCAAATCTGATAAAACTGTATCTCCTAGAGTTTTTAAGCACACGTTACACGTGAGCTGATTCTGAGATTCTATAAAGATTGATGCAAAAATTAGATGTCTACGCTTTTCATGGGCGTGCCAAATCGGACCTGACGATATGGTGATTTTTCAAATTCTGCTATATTTTTGACACTACTGATGCTAGAGACCTTAAATTTGAAATATATATTCTCGCTGACCTCCCAAGACCAAAAAGCTTTGGTGGAGATATGTCCGCCCACAGGGGGCGTGGCAAACCTCAGTTTATATCTCCGAAAGTATAAGAACTAGAAGCTTTAAATTTGGATAGATAGGTTACTAGTAACTTCCTCTATCGATTCTCCAAATAATATTGTTACGCCTCTTTAGGGGCGTGGAATATAAAAAATCCCCTGCCATTTTTTCATTTTTGGAGCGTAAACATCCAAACTCTGCAGCTCGTTCCTCCCGACTGCAACGTTCTTACTTGTTTATATTTTGATATTCAACAAACAAATTCCCATTCACATGGAACTATTTATTTTGTTAACTAAATATACCGCCGGAAATGATATACCTAAAGCGAACAGATTTGTCTGACTTCCCTTAAGCTGATGTATGTTAGAGTATTTAATCTTTGCCATCCTGCAGAAAAAAAGTGTCTGTAGTGTTATATATGTATATAATTCAGCGGTAATCAGCAGCGATTGAATCGTCAAGAGACCTGACTTTATTATATTGAAATCATAATCTGAGGTCTAACGTCGCGCCTGGGTGCTTGATGCGATCAGTAAAGCGCAAGCTGCCTAACTGAACGGATCATGAGTTTCGATCTAGAAATCAGAGGAGTGTCCCTTCAGCGCGGACAGTTCCGTCTCCTGCTGGACGTAACGCTGCTTGGGTTGTTACTCCTGCTGAGGACGTATTTCAAAGATCTATGGCCGCCAACAACACAACGAGGCTTCTTCTGCGACGACGAGTCACTAATGTATCCCTACCGGGAGAGCACGGTGTCCTCCCTCATGCTTCATTGTATCAGTATCTATTTTCCGATGATGGCTTTGCTGATCCTGGAGACCAGTCGAGCTTGGCAGGGGAGCCGCCAGTACTGGTATGTGTACAACACCTTGCGCTGGTTCATTGTGGGCTATTCCGCGCAATCACTATTAAAGGATATGAGCAAGAATGTTATCGGAAGGCTGCGTCCCCATTTCTTTGAGGTCTGTCGGCCGCAGCTGCCCGATAACGGCTTCTGCTCAGATGAAGTTAATCGGAGCGGCGGTGTCTATCACACAGTTTACAGGTGCCGCACGGATCTATCGGGGGCCACCGAGGAGATGCTCGCCGACATCCACGTCTCCTTTCCTAGTGGCCACTCCAGCAACACTTTCTACGGCCTGCTCTTCTTGGTTCTCCACTTGGAGCGCATCCGCTGGCCGCTGCCTGGCAGCTTGCTGCGTCCAGTGTGCCAGCTGCTCTGCGTCTGCCTAGCCTCATTTGTCGGCCTTAGTCGAGTCATGGATTATAAGCACCACTCGTCGGATGTTGTGGCCGGTTCGCTGCTGGGCGCCGCCATTGCCTTTGCGGCTGTCCGGGCGGCAGGGCTGGACGAGCGCCTGCGTCTAGCAAGCGGCAGAGGGCAAAATGCAAATACGTCGCCAGCCAAGCCAGCTGCTCCTACTCCTGTTGCCATGGCTGCCTCTGCTGGTGGCTCTGCTGGTGCCCCTGTCGAAGAGGACCCCGGAGCGAAGCAGCTGCCGCATGATTTGTGCCAAGTTACGTGCCACAGCTCTAATTAGTTTTAGTTGCGTTTCAGCCCTAGCTTGTTAAAGCAACCGACAGTAAAGATGGACAATTAAAAGTGTAATTTGTTGCTTTTTCTCATAAGATACAATGCGCATATAATGGGGCTAGTTGATAAGGCGGGCGAGCGTCTGTCGCTTCCTTCCTGCTGAGCGGCAGCCTCTAATAATTTAGTCCCAGATTAAGTCAACTGTCGCATTTGTGTCTCGTTTTCCGCGTTCTATTTGCTCTGGCATCTACATACGAGACTGCTTACAAGATTCCGCATAGTTTTGCGTATAAGCACTATAGAACTGTGCAAATATTTTGAGCTCAGTCAGTAAACAGTGGCTGTCAGCACCGAAATATTTTAGTAATAATATTAAATATAGGGGTTTTTCCTTAGATTAGCTTACCGACGCGAATTCGGGAATCGTTTACATACCTGCAAAAGATTGAACAAATTATCAATAAATGGAATTTTCATTTGGTTTTTTGAAATCGTAGTTAATTTTACATAATTTAAAAACTGCGTATGAAATATTATTGTTTATACCTCAGAGCTCAGGCTGAAGATGTGAACATTTTAAATACGAGTCTGTGAAAAGAACAATAGACCTATTTCTGTATTCCGCTTTTTATCCAACAACAAATTACCCCGTCTGTACAACATCCAAGTATGCTCTCTGACCGAAGAAGATTAATGATAATTCTATTGAATAATATAATATTTGGCCAACTGCTGCATATTCTCAGTGAGTCAACTTCTTTAAAATAAATGTATTCTATGATGTTAAACTGAATAGTTGAATTTGCTGTTATTCGTGCGAAATTCATAGTCAACAAGAAACTAAATTTTGAGAGTTCGATTTTATTCGTTCTATTTATGGCTTGAGGCTGAAGATAATATAATAGGAGGAACTTATCGCCCGAAGCAAATTGATTGCAATTAGCGCGCTTGGCAAGCTTCACAAACCAAAACCCATTGAAAGCCGCAGAAACAGACGCAGACACAGAAGAGTCGTGACGTTGACAGCGGTGCCACAATTAGCGACTCTTTTAGTTTCATTAGAAACAAATTTTCAAATGACTTAATCCCAGTCTACGCCATTAGCACGCCCTCTGCAGCCAGGTCCAGTTCAGGAAGAGGCATGGGCACATGGAGAGAGAATGGAAGGGACAGGCAAAGTCGCTAAGAGGAATAAATAAATTTCAGCAGCAGGCGCGTAAATTGGCACAAGCGAGGGATTCAGCGGCCCAATTCGAGAAGCTGACGATGATGCGCAACACCTGAGTCTCAGATTCAGTATAGGTGCTCGAGTCTCGGACGATTAAGGGCTACCCTCATCAGGACACGGAAGCTCTTGCCAGGCATTTTCACTTGTGGCCCGCTTAATTGGCTCATTTATTTTGATGGCAAAGAATATGTTGGCAAAGTGTGGTTCTTTTATTCGCTCGGGCCTCGCATTTACCTGGTCTCTTGCCGCCTCTGCTTTTATTATGATTAATTATGGCACAAGCGCACAATTACAGACACATCTACACCGCAGAGAGATACGCAAACTGACCCCAAGCTTCGGTTTCTCGCCAAGTTTTGCAACTGTGTCAAGCTGATGTTGTTGGTGTTGTCGTTGTCTGGCTCCCAGATTCGAATGATAAATTTCTATGCAATTTATTTTAATCTGCTGCGACAGAGCCCCCCCTCCTGCCGCGAAACTAACTTGGCAGCTAGTTTCCATGCGTTAATTAAATGGAAAATATTTGCACATAACAGCTGAGTTGGGAAGGGAAGGGCAGCGGAGGGCAGCAGGCAGAAGGCGGAAAGCGGTTACTCCTAAAGTTCTCCTGCAATCCAATGAATTGACCTATATTTTGCATTAGCGAAAGTTTTGTTTTCCACACAGCAACAACAGCATGCAGCAAGTGAGAAGGGCAGTCAAGCCTCACTGTGGCCCGATGAAACAGAAATTGACTGCCTGAAGCAGCAAGAGAAGTCAAAATGAAGAGAAGAGAAACTTCAGTGAGTAAAGTAGAATTAAAGTACTTTTTACAGACTGGTTGCTTACTATCTGATTTCAATGGCGACTCTAAAGGGCTGCTCGTATCATTACATGTATATTTATATTATTTATATATATATATATGTATGTATATTTTTTCTGTACCCTCCATATATGATAGATTTGGATTCTTTCAGTTATTTTACAATTTTCCAACAGTATATGATTGTATATTTCAAATGAGTGGCTTATTTTCGAGTTGCTTTAAGCAACTCTTGCTGCTCGGGCCCATCAATCAGCAGCTCGCTTAGCTCACACGAGAGATTTTTCAACCCACCTTCCGCAGCACCGTCTGTGCCCATCACAGTCAGCAGTCAGGTGTGATAATGCGGCATGCGTACAGCTCCTGTCCGTTTCTCTCCAGTCTGCGTCCAGTCGAGTCAGTTTGTCACTCTGTCGTATCAAGCATCGCCATCATGGCCTGCCACATATTTGCATGCCTCTTTGCCTGTCTGCTTTACAAAACATCCTGAAGCTATTCAGGGCGATCTCTACCCTTCTGGAGCTCTAGAGTCGATGACTGTTGCTTAGCACCGTTCTCAAGCATGCCTGTAGTACATCGATTTCATATGACCACATGAAAGATATGGCCAGCCTCATTACATCCATGCGTATAGGTCTCTCTTTTATTAATTATAGTATAATTTCTTTATATCATTCAAGGACTGTCGTATGAGTCCGTCAACTATGCCGCGCCTAAACGATATTTGAAAGCGTATCTCAACTGTGCCATGGCTTTGCCGCATTCTGTTTCCGTTGCTGTTGTTAATGCTGTCATCGTCGCACCGAGCGCTTCATATTTCTGCGGTTGCCAGTTTGTCCATTGAATTTCCATGGGACTCGGGATCGGGATGCCATCCTAGCAACTTTACCACTTGCTATTTGCTATCAGCAGCCGCCTCTCCGCAGTTTGCAGTCCGCAGTCCGCAGTCGGCAAACGACCAGTCGAGCAGTCGCCAGTTGTTAGTTCTCGTTCTCAGTAATCTGCGCCCTCATTGGCTTCGTGTGTGCAAAGACAATTTGATAATCGCAAAATGCAGCATAGCTGCATAGTGTGAGTTAATGAAGCTTGTGTGCTATGCTTGCATCCTTGTGTGCCACCTTGGTGCCCTTGCGAAATATGCTCTGGCAGACCAGACAAGACCACACACACATACATACACATACATACACATACACACACATACACACACTCACACACGCACGCATCGTGGTCCTAGCGTTGTTTGTTAGAAAACAAGCAGAGCGTTTTGCTTGCCAATTAGTAATTTGTTTGCCGCCTGGTTGACTTGAGGACGAGCATTCAAACGAGATAGAGAAAGAGAGTAAGAGTGAGCGAGAGAGAGAGAGAGAGGCTGTGCCTTTTTAAAGAGCTTCGGGAGGGAGCACAGGTACTGGCTGGTTCAATTTGGTTTCATTTGATGACAATTTCCGTGGCGTTAGTTTAACTCGTAAAGTTTCGCCGATTGTAACTCTGAACGTTCTCCATTATTAGTGTGAATCAGATCGACAGCAATAACAACTCAAGCCGTGCACATGCCGCTCGGCTTATCCCCCATTCATTTTCAATTTGTTTAAATTAATTTTAAGCAAGCTCTACTTGACAGATTACAGTTCATTTATCAGATGCTGCCTGGTCTGCCGCTGCAGCGAACAACGCAGCTCTGCTCCCATGCTGTTAACTAATTTAATTTTTATCGACTGACAAGACGAGCGAGTTCAATGTGACAATGCGATAGCTCAACGGCAACAGCAACGGCAACGTCAACAATGACACCGACTATAATAATGGACGATGTGCTGACCCCCCCGTAGACATCGGCAGGGGCATGGCCGATGCAATCAGAGGGCGACAGCGGGACGTCGGCGATCTTGGATGGAACAGCCGGGCGGAAGACAAAGTCGGACTTCAAATTCAGCTTGGCATTGGCCCTTTGTAGTGCGGCCGCACGATAGTCGAAGTCGCTTTGCGCCCCGCTGTCTAGAAATCACACGCAGCCTCGACACGTGACGTCGACAGCAAGAGCGTCAGCCATTTTGCGTTTTGTGTCGCTGCCACCATCATTATTAATACGGCCGGAACGGCACGGGACCAGCTGGACCGGGCCGGACAACAGATCCGGGTCCGGGTCTGGGCGTGCCATAACGATGCGAGCGACATTTGCTTCTGCACTAACTTCCGTTGCGTGGCGTTCGTGCTGTGATTTTTTCCACGCTGCCTCCTGCCATTCGCCTTGCAGGCATTCGCTTTGGCTTGGCTCGCCGGCAATTTTGATTGCTTGCCAGTCGGAGCAGCTCCTGTCCGGCCAGCCAAAATAGGTGTGGCCGTCAACTGGCAATCAACTTTCATTTAGCAGCATCATTTGTCTCGCTTGTTTATTGCCCGGTTACGTGTTGGTCAGACTTAATGGCTGTTATTGTCGCCAGCACCTGCTCCTGCTGCCAGCTTCACAGACTGACTGTCTGTCTGCCTGTCTGTTTCTCTGCCGAACTCAAGGGCAGTGCAACAATTCGTTGCACTTATTGAAATTCAAGAAGCCGAAACTGCCGTTTAGTTACCAACTCCAGTAACAATTCCCAGCCCTCTCAGCTTTATCTGCCGAAAATTAAATATTCAACCCGTGAGGCATCCACGACAGGTAAATGTCGGACTGCATTCCTAGCACGGCATACTCAACCGCACAGTGGTCGCTGATTTATTTTCGACTTAGTGGCAACGGCAATGGGGCTTGGTCAGCGACAGAACGTAACGAGATTCAAACGCTGCTGCCGTTTCTAATGCCGTGTTGATTATGAATATTTCAGCGCAGTCTGGCGAAAGGCAGCCCTGATGACGACCCACGCGATGATGATGATTATGCTGATGACGTTGACCGCATGCGCCGCGAATGAGCAATAAATTTGTATGACCGGCCCTGGATTCGGGCGGTCTGCATATGAATTTACATTTTGGCAATTTCCAGTTTTCGCAGTCTGTTCCGTCGGGCCCTCGCCTCAGTTCAATTGGTCGGCTGCATTTGCCTATCGTCGATTGCAAATCTTCATTGGAGTGCAGCGCGTAAATTCCGTTGCCACGTTCATTTGGACCGTGGGTCTTTGCGTCCGCTGGCCGAGCTAGGAGATATTGTGGATCGCTTCGTTCTGCCAGCAAATGCAATTTCCTAATTTCTCACTAGGGAAATGCAGCTAAGGCTGGGACTGGGTCCACATGTCCGACTGCCCTGCTGATTGAGCCAGCTGGTGTTAGGCTAGCACCCGGGGCACCGCGGATGGGGGAGTCGAAAGTCGACGGTGCTGCGCTCGCCTCCGAATTAATGACCCGGCGCCGCAGACAAGCAGCACAAAAAACCGCAGACAAAGGAGCATAAATGCATAAAGTGGGCGGCAGTTAGCCGCGTCATCCTTGCATTCCTTCTCCACACTTATTTGACCCTGGTGCGCCTGAGCTTAGGCAACGCAAATTGGCTTATGCATGAGCTGCCCAAGCGGACAGAAAAACGGTACGGAACGGACGTACCCGAAAAGCTTCTAACCAACGCCTGCATGTAAGGAAATTCGCGCGAAGGGAGCCAATATGATGGAAACACCAGCTTGGATGCATTCCCAGCCCCGCTAACAGGTCGGATAGGGGTCAGAGAGCGGGATAACTAAATTGTTGGCAAAGTCTTTGATTAGCTTACCCCAGCTGCAGCTCGACGGGTTGCTCGTAATGCATTTCGAAAACCACACGAGCGGAATTTATGTACATCCGCTGGCCAGCTGCAGAAGAACACATATGTATATGTACTATGTCTCAAATGCACTATCATGCTTAGAATCACAAGTTTAAGGAAGTTGTAAAACAGCTTTAGTGCTTAGCCATTAGTTAGTATGTAGACTTATACCAATTATCTTTCACTCATAGGTCGTTTCATAGGGTGTTGTTGTTCTTAGTTTGGGAAGCTGTCCAAAGCTTGCCAGATACCGTCTGTGTAACACAGAGCCTTTGTTAAGCTGCTATTTGGCTGACCCTTCGTATGACCAAGGAAAATCAATAACTAAATGCTGACAAGCAAACTTCCAGCCGTGAATTATAGGCAAGGAAGTGACCCCTAAGTCAAGCTGCCGACACAAACAGTCCGACTAAGTAAGAAAGGCTTTCTCCAAGTGAATTTTTTGAAGTCCGTCTTAATTCTATACGATTCGACGGTCTTCGGTAAATCGGGTTAAATTATGAATATATAACAACATACATTTGCAGGAAGCGCATTCCACCCCTTACACAATGTAGAAGTATTCAGGGTATGAACTTTCCAGCAAAATTGGATTTGTCAAAATAGCATAGAAAGAGCATGCGAGGGGCAGACTCATTCCGTTGGGTCCCATATGGACCGGGGTGGGCAAATAACCAGATAATATGACATAAATGATTGGTTTGAGGGCGGCGCTGGGTAAAAGTAAAAGCTTCGATTGTTTTTAGTCGCAATGGGAGATTAGGGTTCACAGTAACAGTAAAAACTCCCTCTCCTACTCCTGCCACTCATGCTATTGCTGTTGTTTCCAGCGATGATGACGACATAAAGATGCGGCTCTTAAATGTTATGGAATGCCAATCTTCAATGTTATGGAGGGCTTGGTTCGTAACACGACGAGAGCGAAGGGGTAATCGCATCATCATCAGCTTTAACGACGCTCCAGACCAAACCAGACCAGACCAGTGGTCGTCCTGCGTTCGATCGCAAAAATAGCGCGTATGACTTTTCAAACGAATGACAGCAATTAACGCAGTCAATGAAGTCGAGGCCATTGTTTGCTTCTGTTCGACACACCCTACAACACCGACTCGCCTCTCCTTCGCCTTAGCCTTCATAGCTGGTGTCGCATTTCCTAAACAATCGCAATTGGGTCGCGCTAGGGCACATAAAAACAGGCTAGCTGGACCAGAGTATGGCCTGGCAGGTTGTTGCGTCCGGCTGCTGGGTTTAGAGCAAAGCTGCCCTTATCTGACTTCGCTGTTTGCGCCGACTAAAAGGTCCAATACAAACAAAGCAGCCAAAAGGCCAGACCGGGACCACTAAATCTGTTATTTATATGCCATCAGCGGGTTATCATAGCGCCTGAGACCAGAATGCGCCTGTTTGTTTACTTAAACATAATTTTGGATTACCCAATGCGTTTTGAGTTCTATGCTGTTCATACCTGGGCTCTGGGTAATCGAGGGTTCTTTGGACTACCTAGTATCCTGAGTTAATAGATTAACACTTAAATTATTTTTGTTGAATTTAACATATTTTAAAATATACAAAATCCATATGAATAATTCATTTAATTGATGGCATTTAGTTTGATTTTAACAGAGATATGACGCCTCTTAGATGATAATGTAAGATTTACTTAATGTAGAAAGAGACCCAAACACCTTCAGAACATAATGGTAAACCAATCGGGACTGTCCTTCACACAGGCAGCTCACTCATATCAACTTTTTGTTGAACCCACGTTTTGAACTATTCCCCAAATCATTTTGATAAGTAGAAAATAAGCCATCAAATCTGAGCTATGAAAAAAGAAATTTGTTATAGTTTCGGTGTGTTTCTAAAATTTGACTGAAAACTGACAGGGAAATAAAACTTCTGAAATAGACACACACACACGCACCAAATTAAAAAAAAAAAAAAAAAAAAAAAAAAAAAAACATTTTCCCTACATTTTCGAAAATGTTAATATGCATTTGCGTGGCGGCTGCTGGTGGTGGAATATTATGCATGCGACCGCAGCCCACGCGTCGTATGTGTGATACAAGCCCCCAGGGCATTTCGAGCGACAGAGCGCAAACGTGGGGCAAAAGCAACTTTAGCAAAATTTGACATCGGACGTGTCGGGGGTGCATTCCAAAGCGCATACACAGATAGCAGAGCCCACGCAGCGCATGCAGCTAGGCCGTCATTTAAATGCAAAAAAGTGATAACGACTGGGTAATGATGAAGTGGAGCATACAGCGCCCCAATGCCTGCTGGCCACTGTCACATAGCAGACGCCCGACAAAATTGGTTACGCTATTGGGTCAACAGCTGCCAACGTTTTGGATTACCAACCATGGGCGTGGGCGCAGTGAATGCCGTGTTGAGTGGCCAGCAGTCCCGACAGCCCCAACATATTGGCCCCACTGATGGCACAATTAGAGCCAACGACTTTTGTCTGGCCACTGCGGGCCACTGTTTCGCAGCGACAGCGTGTGAAAATGAGCTGCCGTTGATGAGTGGCCAGCGAATGCGATTACTGTCTCAGTTCGCCTTCAAGTTACAGTTGGCTGCTCATTTGCAGGTGAATGCATCACGAGAAATTTAATCGGCCGTTTCGGCAACTTTAAATTCCAGCACTGAATAGAGTTTCTGACAAATTGTTGTGGGCTTCGCCTTAAAATGACCTGAGCCTTGCAATCTGCAAGTCACTAAACAGTGAATTTACAAAATTATTAAAATATATTTAATTAATTATGAGGTGGAGATAGTGTATTATTCGTAGCAATTTATTTTCGTACTTCTCTTTAAATTCGTTTTATACCCTGAACCCATTGAAAATGGAAAGCCTGGCTATAGGAATCATCGCAGACGCCATAAAGTATATACATATATTCTTGATCAGGACTAGAGAGCTGAAATTGCGTATGTATACTCATGTATACCATAAGCAGTATGAGTTTATCATATTTTTCGATAACTCGCCCAATATCTTTTTTATCGAGAATAATAAATTTTTTTTTAGATTTATGAAATATTTACCACTAATTTTAAGCTAATGGTACTTAGTAAGCCTAGTATTTGTCAATTGTAATCAATAAATAAACAAATATATTGTGGTCTCATTCAAAGAGTCTTTGTGCCAAAATCTGCCAGAATAAATTATTTATATATTATATTAAAGGTCATTGGAAAGCAAAAAACTTACACTTTATATAATCATGTACAATATTCTTATATAGACATAAGCACATGCGAAAGGTCAACCTGAACCCCTGCCAGTCAGCCGAGAAATTGCAGAGTGCACGTACCACGAGAAATGAGGAAATATTGCAATAACAGCCCGAGGCATTCATTATTTTTCATGCTGCACCAGCAGAAGCGCCGGAGTCGAAACTGGGCCCAGTTTATAGCATCGGGCTCATGATGCTAAGCACATGTTCGCCTCCTGCTCCCGAACTCACTGACACTCAAAGAGTCCCGCTCCCTTGAAGGACATTCAAAGATGTTAGTGAAGTGCCTGTGCAATCAACATCGTCAGCAGCAGTAGCCGTCGATGGAGCAGCACGCGCTCCTGCCAAATAAAAGCGAATCCTTTCCCCCTTTCTCGACCTTCCACATGCTGCCCATTTTTTGACAAGGCAATAAAGTTTGCCAAGGAGGCAGCGCTGACTCTTGCCAACGATGCAATGGCATTGCACTGCATCGCATATAAAATATGTTGCTACATCCAAAAAGAAAATACAAGAGTGTAGCAGTTGAGAGTGCACGACTAGAGGATACCGTGTGCAGGTTCGACTTCACAATAATGACATAAATATCACACTCTTATATTTGATGCCATGAATAACTACAATCCAAAAATAATATAGCCTGTTGAAAATCGATTTTTATCGATCATCATGAATACATGCATAGGCCCAAAACACTTCTAGTTCTTACCATGTCTATTTTTATTGAGAACCGAATACCACTTGCAAAATACCGGAACAAACAGAGCCAAAAATTACACTTCATATGAAAAAGCTGCGCAGGTGAATGTAGTAAATCTTTACGGATCTAACTAACTGAAGACTCAAAGTGATTAAACAATTTCCAACAAAACTGGAGCGTTTTAAGTAAGCATGTATATTTCTAAAAACATTCAGTTAGAGGGTATGGGCTAGTTTAGCAGCTTTTAGGCACGCTTTGACTAGTGTATGGGACATCAAAAAATTGTGTCTGATGGTGCGGCATTGGCAACGCTGCATACTCAATTCCCATAAAATAAAGCACAAATTACTAAAATAAAAAAGGATTCAGACGGTCAGCGGCGGTCTTTCTCTCTCTCTCTCTCTCTCTCTCTCTCTCTTTCTATCTCGTTCGCTCACTGTGCAACAGAAACCATTCCTCCGGTCGTCTTTCTATTAATTGTGCTATTCTTTGCTTTGCTGCGCTTGCAGTTTGGCCCCAGCGACTCTTTTGCCCATTGGCTTTTTTATGGCAGTTGTGCTCCCTGTTTGGCTGACTCTCGTCCTGTCTCGCTGGGTACACATACACTCACACACATACACGCACTCTCACAGACACAGGCACAAGCGCTCTTGTGTAGATGTAATTGCTAAAGGATTTCGTGCGGATTTATTGTTGCATAGCTTGTGCTTTAGGTTTGTTGTTTTAGCCCTTGAAAAGTTGTGTACGTACATTGATAGGAATTTGATTTGTCAGTTGGTTAATTTATGGCGGGGATTGCTGAAATTTATGCTGGATTGCTCCACATGATTGTGTGAAAAGAGTCAACTGCGAGGACTTAAATAACAGCTAAAAGAAAAATAATGACAACAAATTGTAAATAGATCGCCAATGTCGACTGTTTATTCGATGGACTTTTTGTAGACTCCAGCACTTGGTCTTTGCTCTACTTTACACATTTCAGGCCCCAAAAATTTGGTCCAGTCAAACGGCAGCAGTACTAGCAGCTTTTGGCAGGATTTGCTGCTGAATAGTTTTTCTTTTCTTCTATTGTGGGCAAATAAACTGTTAAAAATGCTGAGTATGCACCACTTTATGAGAAGGGGGTAAGAGCTAAAAAAAAACCTGCCAAAAACTGGCAGCGAATGAAACAACTGGCGCCAAAACAATAAATGGCTCCGAATACTACAGAGCAGCAGCAGCAGCAGGAGAAGTAGGAGCAGCAGCAGCTATCGACGAGCACAACAACTGCAAAGGAACAACAGCACAGCAGAAGTGCCAAATGGCCATCCGAAAAGGATGAGGAGGAAGGGCGAAACGCGCACATGTGGCAAAGGGGGACCCACCGAAAATTGACGAAAATCCTTTAGCATGTTGTTACAAGTGGCCAGGACTCAGGCGGCGCGCTTCCCTCTCGCAGTTCGCAGTTCGGAGCGCGCGCCACTTCAATCCGTGCTACCAAAACCCAAATAGTGCCACTTTCGGCTGGCTCTTCATCCGCTTGCCATACGTTGCCATTCGCTTGCTGATTCAGCAGGCAGCGATTGCCACGTAGCAGAGCTCCAGGTCCTTGTCTTGGCTCTGGCTCCTCCGTCCTTTTGCACACTTCTTTTTTCTTCCCGCTCTGTTTGTTTTATTTTGGCGCATATCTGCAGATATTTTCGCAACACTTCATAAACCATAAAAGCACAGCCAGTGAATGTGGTGTAAAATGCAGCCAAATTTAATTTGCAACTCATAATTTCCGTTTAACGCGCTTCAGGCAGCAGCTGCACAAATTGTTTCTCTTTCCTCTTCCGCCCAAGGCGGGTTCTCTCATTCTCCTTCTCGCTACCTCTCCCTCTAT